CCCTCCCCCTCCGAAGAATTGAAATTCAAAATGTACAATGAATTTGTGAAATTCACTTCTTTTCTTCTGAAGCTTATTTTTTCGAGAAAAGAATAATCGTTTTATGTATAAATTTATTTAAACGATTCGAATTAATCGAACTCTAATCGCTTCGAACATTTCTCTCATAAAATTATACGAATGTACTCGTTTTTCTTTTTTCTTTTTATTCTTTTTTTGCAATCAAACACAATATTTCTCGATTCTTTCTTTCTATCTATATCTTCAAATGATTTGACGAATCGTCGTGTGAAGATCGGAAGAAATAAAATTAGAAAATAATTTCAATACGAATCGTATTCGTTGGTTAATGGGTATCATCGAATCGTGACTAAAGCGAATTAGAATTTATCGATAAAGTGTGGCCGGTGCATAGTGGGCCGCGCTCGATATTTCTCGCATGCCAATGCACGTAACAAACGTTCAACTGTTGGTTACCAAGAATTCGTAATTAATATTGCATTATCAGGGTTACGTGAACCGATGTCGTAATGGAACATTCGGCGATACGATAATTGTATCTAATTGTATAATTGTATATAATGAAACTTCCTCGAACGTAAAACTTTACGATTGGAAAGAAAGCGGATTTCTTCTCCGCGAACGAGAGAAATCTTTTACATCTTTTTTTTTTTCTTTGACACGTTTATTCGTTCATTTATTATATTAAGAAAAATATTTGTACAAGTCAATTACGTTAGATTAGTCATTTCGAAGATCTTTCCTTATAATCTCATCTTTTTTTATCATTAAAATTAATATTCGATTATTGTTTATATAATCTCAAATAAAGTGGACGAATCAGATTTTAAAATAATTACAACGAGACGTTCTTATATATTTATTTAACGTCTCTGATTTATTTCCATTGGTTAAAGCACTTTTCTTTGCGAAAAAATTTTTTATCAAACGAGAATATGAATTTCAATGAATTCGTTGACACAAGATTTTCACGTCCCGTTTTTAATGTCTTCATTGTGTAACGACTTCGGAACACAAGTGTACGAATGTCAAGAGAGATAATACGAGGAATACGTAAAAATAGTTTGAAGATATAAAGTCTAGAATCATCTTCCATTCTAAGAGTTTCTCAAATAAGTCACGTAGCTTTAGATGTTTGAAGAACGAAGGATGTAATGTATGTTCTGTATCTCGAAAAAAAAAAAAAAAAAAGAAAAGTTGCAAGTCTTTGTGCAACCTTATCTCGGAAATTAATTGCGAAGAGAAATGTGTATGGATAAAGTAGGTTAATGAAGGAAAATATAACTACGTCGAAAGGACATCGTTACACATTCTGATTCTTCTTCTTTGTTTCGCGAAATGTTTAATAAAAGAAACGACTAGAGATTATTTGATAAAATCACATTTCTGTATTAACAACGTTACAATATTACAATATATATATATATATACTATATATAGGCAGTTTATTCGTGTTGTATCTTTTACTGTGGCGTGTAATAAATTTGTAAATTATTGTTCATTCGCGTCGATCGAACAACGCTTTCGACTAGTAGCCATCTGTTATCATAATGATAACAATAATACGATAATTGTAACTTAAACACGTGGTTACGTAGGCAAGTGTCGAGTCATTGGGAGTCATGTCTCGTTAAAAATAATTTATGATTCATTTTCATTTTTGTCTTCGATTTATCCACGCACGATATATTTCTTCAAAAAAAAAAAAAAAAAAAAAAAAAAAAAAAAAAAAAAAAAGAAAAGAAAAGAAAAATAATCGATGTAAAAAAAAAAAATTCAATGATTCGTAACACCAGTCTAGTTTCCCTGTACAAATATTCTCTTCGGTATTCGATTGGCTTCAAATTATAATCTTAATCGACTAATCTCGGGCCATCTTAATGCTAATCTACGTTATAACATCATACGCATGTGTATACGCCTTACAAGTGTGTATGTGTACGTGTATATGTACATGATATGCGTATGAATAATTTC